AAAGCCCAGATATTTATACAATGTAAAACACCCTTGGTCCTAAACTAAACTAAACTGCTTCCTATTAATCAAATCAACTTCAGATTCTGTCCGTTAAAAAAAAAAAAAAAAAAAGAAAATCTAGCTGCACAGTAAGCAGAAAAAAAAAAAACCTTGGCAAACCCACAAAAAGAGGTGCATGACTCATGCTGTAATGCGCATCTGAAAAATGACTCAACAAACCACAGTGCTGACAAAACTCTTGTGATCCGGAATCACATGTTGTCAAAGGAAAACGCCTGGATTACATTGTTTTCAGAACATATCACTAGAAGTTCCATTGCTTATTTGGACAATGCCTGATATGTCCGTAGGAACAACATTAATTAAACACATTTAATGAACATGACTCCTCTGCTCTAGCAGGGGAATGGATGATTTCCACTTCAAACTGCTAGGTTAAAACAAATTCAATATTAAGCATTGAGACAATATAAAAACAATATTTCATTGATCTACAAGGAGATTTTGAACAAGCAAATCAGAGTTATACTTTATATAATTTGAAAAAGTATGTTTGTTAACTATCTGCCAGGCCGGACGCCTAGAAGAAGACAAAGGAAGAGGTTACTGGATGGAACCAAAGTGGTGTTATAGTGGGTGTTAGAGATGAAAATGCAGAAGATGGGGTTAAATGGAGACTTGCTGTGCCGACCCCAGAAAGATAAAAGCTAAAAGAAAAAGAAGACTGTTGATATATCTATTAAGCTCTAACATTTGCCTTTTGGTCTGCCTGTTTTGGTGTGGCTACAAACCACAAAAGCCAACTATCAAAACCTATATGATGGATTTAAAATTATTTCATTATAAATTCCTGGATATGAATGAGTTGTGTTTGTTTTATGAAGTGGCGTTAGATAAGTGCTGCAACCAACGATTGCTGATCGATTAATATGTCAGTTATCTTTTTGACTAATAATCGGATAGCAAAAGGTTCCCTAAAGATCTTTTACATAATTTTTACAAGGTGAAACTAACTTAAACTAACTTGAACTTTATGCTTCCCAATTTCAATTTCAAATGCATGAAAGGCCAAACTTGATTTTTTTTTTAAAGGCAGGTATCTACGTTCAAGATCCATCTGGGTACCATGTAGTTACTGTATGTTTACCACTAAAACAAAGTGATGAAAATTAC